AGAGTGTCCCGCAAGAGTGTCCCACAAGAATGTCCGACAAGAGTGTCTTACAAGAGTGCCCCACAAGAGTGTGCTACAAGAGTGTCCCACAAGAGTGTCCCACAAGAGTGTCCTACAAGAGTGTCCCACAAGAGTGTCCTACAAGAGTGCGCCGCAAGAGTGTCCCACAAAGGTTTCCGAAGAGAATGCGTCCCACAAGAGCGTCTCCTACAAGAATGTCAATAATTGTTTGGGTTCCATTTTGGTTTTTCCTCACCAATCCATACATCCTAGTCGACCTCCCATCATGCATGAAAACTTTAGGTGAACGCTTGTGGCAGTCGAAGCTGTTGAAGTTCACAGGGATAGACCAGTGACAGGCAAGCGCATTTGAAAACGTTCTCGGCCTCCTGTCAACAGTTCGTTACAATGTTGCCCTTCCCTTCCAAAGGCCCCGCAAGCCAGCTTTTCAAGGCCATTCACCGACTCTTTGAGTCTCAAATCTAAAAGGGCTTGGCGAGTTGATCCACCGGCTGTGTTGATATGGATCCCTCTTCAGGCATACCGGCGTGTTTTCTTTGTGGCCTCCTGCACAGGTATGCTGGCCTTCTACACAACTTCTCCGGCGCGTGGGTAAAAGGTCCGCTCCAATACAAAATGGATGATTCGCTGGTCACTGGGTTCAGCGCCTGGCTGCTGGGCCAGCCAGGCATTTTGGGCTCAACGGTTCCTGGGTTGAGAAACAGAACATTTTTGGTGGCAAAGGCTATAAGAAAACTCCCGAAATCAGGCACTCTAAAGACAATTTTGTTATTAGTCTTTTACTCTCAGGGTGTGTGACGATTTGTTGAGAGGACCAATACGTTGGCCATAGTTTTGAAACCACGAGCCAAGGTTCCCTGGACTTGTGTGCTCTTTTCTTGGGGAAACTTCCTCGTGGAAATTGTGCTCCCTGTCGCTGCGATGCTCAGTATGACAGAGGGCCCAGTGCGGAGTAAAATTCGCCTCACCTTCCTCATTTTGGCGGTGTCTTTCCATGTGGGCATCTGGATTCTCATGAGCCCCAACTTTATTCGTTCTGTGCTGCTGCTGATTTTCGCCACCAACCCCGCTAGCCTCTTTGATGCAGAGGATAAGGCCGCTGAAAAGCAATCGTTGGCTTCCACAGAGGGGTCTGAAAGGCTTCAACAATCTGCTGCTCTTGTAGGAGAGTACCTCCGTGCAATCTACGGGATGGCGATGTGGACTGGCTGGAATCTTGTGCAGCTCCTTTCGGACTATGATCACCTGGCTGGAAACATGGAACCCAAAGCGCATCACGACATGTACTTCCCCTTCTCCGAGTTCCCAATGTTTGCCCCTTCAACGAAGGAGAACTGGGTGCTTAGGTGATAGTTCATTTAGATGGTGCATGAAAATGCCCCAAACTTAGATCAACGAGGGAGGACCTGGACCTTTTACAAGGCATGTTGGAGATGGAGATCCATGAAGATCCATGTATATCATCCCGTTTGAAAGTGCTGAGTTGAGCCCTCTTATAGGGCGTCCCCGAAAAAGGGGGAGACCATGGTCCCTGACATCGATTGGCAAGGAGACCACCCATGCCCAGTGGAGTTGCGCATTTCTTCTGCTCGCCTGGGGGGCGCTGCTCATCAAAATGATCCACGATGTGAATGAGGTGATGCCGCCTTAGGCGCGAATCCGATCTCCAGAGATCAGAGGCTGCAACAAGCAGTCTGGACTGATGGCCTTGACAAAAAGTTGAAGCGTGCCCACAGATGAACAAACACGTTGAATGGGTTCTTTTTACGGATTTTGTCCACATCTGAGCTCGAGGGCGCATCCTGACACCTGACACTATTCCGCGTTTCCATGCACTGCTCTTCCAAACCAGATTGCCCCCAACTGGATTCTTTACCCAGCTTCATTGAATCTATGCTGTGGCTTCGAATGTTAGTTCACTGTGGGATTGAAATTTCAATGATTGTACAATTTCCACCTATTCTACTTCATGAAAACACGCGTCGCGAGTGAAAGAAGAGCGGCACAGAATTCAGCCGCAGACTCCGAGGAGAAGTGGGAAGGGCGGGCCGGGCGGGCGACCGAGCCGGTGAATAAGGAAGAGGAGGAGAAAGAACAAGAGAAAGAAGAGGAACCTTTGTCTGAAAAGCCTAACCAATTGCCCGGACGATAGGCAGAGCCACGTGACCCGAAAGGCAGAGCCACACGCACGAGCTGAGATGACCTTGCAAAGAGCTCAAGGCGCCACTACCAATCCCCATCCTCAAGAGGCCACTCTCTTCCCTTGGTGCGACCATCTCACGATCAACCTCACCTGGATCCGGGGGTTCGTATGCGATGTCTCCCACCGGTGGTGGTCTCCAAGACTCCATGGGGCCAGGTTCGACTGCTTCTGCTGGTGGTGATGCCTTCGCTGCTGCTGCCTCAGCTCTCTTGCACTCAACGCTGTGGCGAACTCCTGGATATTCAGCACCTGCCTGGCAAGCCGGGCACCGCGCGATCGGCGGTGCCGATGACTTCTTCTTTGGCGGTGGTGCCAACAGTGGTCTCTTCGCCACGGGAACTGACACTTCCTTTCCTCTGACTTCTGTGCATGAAGCACTTCAGGTGCCTCGGGGTGATCAACAAGTCTCTCATCCGATCTCGAAGGCTCGGGCAACGCACGACAGCGCTCTTGGATCCAAGTTCCATAACGCTCAATGCGTTTCTTGACATGCTTGCCCTTTCCTGTCTCACAAGCATCCAGGCGTAGCGCCATGAGTATCAACCCAGTTCGGGGGTGGAGCTCCAATCTTCAAATACTCTACTGGAATGATCCCGATATCACCTGGTTCTCGATCATCCAGCGGTTGCGCTTCACCACATGGTTGCAAAAACCTTGACGTTACACCTTGCTGAAATTGAAGTGGAAAAACATTGGAGCTGGCGGTGGGGTTGGCAAATTCTTGGAAAGACAGGTTCTGGACTCATGACGCTTCTTTCTCCAAATGAACCTGACGAGAAAACCGGCGCACTTCCACCAACTCCTCCTTTTCCACCACTTAAAGCCTGACTTAGCCTCCAGACCTGTCAACCTCTGACTCAGATTCTGGGGTGCCTGTGTTGAAGACACATACGGAGCCTTCCTGCTCACTCCCCTTGCGGTTTATGGATCCTTCGAAGCCGGGATCAGCTCCCCTCAAAAGAGGTCGAACCAGGCGTGAAGCGGTCACCACGCTGGGACGGTGGTGCTGTCGCGGCGGCAGGATTATGAGGTGCTAAGCCAGGAGAGTGCGCTGCCAACAATTCCGCATGCCTGAAAGTGGTCAAACACCAGGTGCCAGCTTTCCGACTGCATTCAGCCAGGGTTCTTTCCTGTCAGAGTCCTTCTGTACATGTACGGTGCAGGTTTACATCGGAGTCCCCCGTTTCTTGGACTTCTGATGAAGAGTTTGAAGTGTTGATTTCCAACCACTCCCAACATATCTTCTGTGTGCCCGCAACCTTGCTCAGTTTCTTGGACAACCTTTTCATTTCTGCAATTTCACGTGTGAACTTTTAATATTGGTGTGACACTTGATGGCAATCAATTCCAAGAGACCAAGCGCCCTTTCCGTCTGGCCAGCGGATTCATGTTCAACATGTTTGCGAGCAAGCGGCAAAAGGATAACTGCAAAACTTGATGGTCTGTGGCATTCTTCAATTTTCCTTACATGACATCAATGGGGAAAGTTCGTGAGAAGCAACGGTCATTGTCCTCGCGCCCACCCCAGCTTCAAAGTCGCGACCTCCATTCAGTGCAGCCAAAAATGGGAAAGAACAATCACACACAAACACATCATAGGCTTAAACATATGGAATATATAGAGTTCACTTTCTGGAAATGTATAAAATATATAGATCGATTTAGGAAGTGGCATCATATGTGTTTGAATAGTCTTTGCGACCGTAGCTAGCCAACACCTTCAGTTGGTGTAGAGTCCTTTCGGCGCAAGTAGCCTTGAGACCTTTAGAGCGCACATGCGTCCAAGGAGCGCATGAATTGAATCTGAACATAACCGAAATTCACGATAACGCCTTTTCAGACAGTTTGTCGTATTTTGCCATTGTTTGCGAGATCTAGATGCCCTGGTTGCAAGGATGGACAGCAGAAACTGTTTCTAGTGGCATACTGAGCATTGAGAAGTGCTAAGGCTGCTACTGTAGGGCCCAAGTCCAAATCATTGGAAAAACAGTAGTGAACATAGTGGACAGTTCTATCCCGAAAGACACTTCGTCCTAGGCAACAGTTGAAGACACGATCGGGTTGAAAGAGCCAAGAAGGAGACGGCCTTAGTTATTCAGCTACCTCTTGCCCTCTTGCCTTTGAAAAGCCTAGGCAGTGGACCCAACGTTAATTCCTACTAAAGCAAGAACGTCCTTTGCAAATAGGCCTCAATTGGGCACACCAAGAGTTATATAGTTTAAGGAAGATTGGTCCTTTGAATCCTTGGCCCATGGCTTGAACCCAACTGAGGACCTTAGCCACAATTCACCAGTCAAGACACCTTGTAACTGAGGAAAGTCGATCTTTGAGGACGGGTGAGCCTGGCCTTTCCAGGCTTGACTGGGGCGTCCTTTTCGGACATGAAGAACGAATGCATCCGAACGAAACGGAATATATTCAATTCAAAAACGAGCCACAACATGCCCAATCTCCACGCACAGCCTGCATGAAAACTCAATTCAGACCACGTCATGGAATGCGTGCCAGGCAAAGTGTCACGAATTCTCCCGTTTGGAGCTTTCGTACAAATCACATCACCTGAAGGAGAATCGGCCGAAGGTAGGGCTTCTATTTTTTTCTATGGATCTCAGTAGAGGCAATTTTGGATTTGGTTTGTTTGGCACCGACAGTCTGAGGTTTGCTGCACATCCGAGAGATTCGCTGAGGACCTTCCTTCAAGAACCTTGAGGACCTTCCTTCAAGAATCGGTGGTTGAGTCCTGCCTCTCTAGTCTTCTTGAACCTTTTATTGAGTTTGTTTGAAGTCTTACTTGTGATGGTCTTGGAGCCACAGAGCTGCCTCCACACAGGATGAACTTGGCTTGGGTCCGCACATCAAGGTGCAACAATCTCAATGTGTTTCACAAAATCCCCATGTAAACTGCACAGTTCTTGTTTTGCCAGCATGCCTTTGGGACAATATAGGTAATTTTCATTTGCGTGTGGAGATGTCGCTTGTGCCACTTTGGAGCGGCCTTCGATTATGACAGGTGCGCGTAAAGTATCTCAACAAGGACGAAGGTGTGCCCAAAGCTTGGAACAATACTGTGGGAGTCCGTGCCGCGCCAAATGCTTGCCGTCAAGACGAGCTTCAAAAACTAGAAAAGTTGTGAAAAGGTCTTGCTAGAAGTTTGGCCCTATTTCTCTCCTAAGGCTGCTGTCCATGGAATGATTTGGAACGAGCAGAGAGGCAGCAAAGCCTGAATGGCTGTGCTGGAAGAGCTACGTTGCCTTTATACGTGGAGCAGCGGAGCTGGCCACGCCTTGGAGACGATCGGAGCGGAGCCGCTCGACGAGAAAAGTGACGTTTCGCTGAACTCGGCGTTCCTCGTTGATCCTCTTTGTGAAGGTCCAGAGACGGAACTGATGGGAAAGGGACGGAAAAGGGTTGTGTGCGAAAAGCTTCGAACTTCCAACAAGTTGAAAAGCTTGGCGAGCAAACCAAAGTATTTGGCAAATCAAAGTCCCCCCCCCTCCCGGCGGGTTCAACTCCCCCTCCCCCAAGTCTGATCAAGGCATCGGAGAGGAGAATCCACTAGGTCATTTGGCAACACGAGACCTTCCACAACATAAACATGTAGAATTGCGCTCCGATGCCTCTCGCGTTTCCAAGCCATGCTAGCTTTCGTCACCAACCCCCGACCTCAAGTAGAAATTAGTCAGGTACATAAGGATGAATGTATTTCTGTTATGAAAGAGAGCCGTTTGTTGGCGCTACCTTGCGCGTGCTAGCCCGAATGACATCTGTAGAAACATGAGGGAATAAGAATGGTCAGACAGGGATGACCTCTCTGGCCACCTTGCCAAACAATTGATTCGAGACTGGAAGACTCCCGGTGATGAAATAGTTGGCCCGTTGCTGATGTGGTACGAAGCTCCCGCGTCGTATTTTTTGCTGTGTTCTTATCGGTGAGCCCGTGGTATGTGGCTGGTGGTTACAATGCAGCGCCATCGCAGCGATTTCTTGAAAGAACGTCATTTCCAACAAGGTGATGAGCCCGCGTGAAGAGTCATATCAAAAACTTTCAGCGACAACCGATCCTGGCGAACTGACATGTTGCAATTTCGGAAAAATCACACGCCCAAACCCCCAACATCGCACATCATCGCGGAAGAATTCTGGGCATCTTCACAAGACATATATAGTTTACTTTCATTTCAGCTTCCACCCACCCGGCTCTGCTGAAGACTTGCCTCATAGCTGGATGATCCGACGCGAAGATGAAACGTTTGTCGGGGCGAGATGAACAGGGGTTGTACGATGTTGCGTGTGTTTTTAGCCATGTGATGAAAAGGGAGATCTACAGCACCACACTGCACTGGGATTACAGTATTTTTGTTAATTTCTGTGCTTGCGCTGGTGCATCCTTTCTTATGATGCAAACAACTTCCTGTCGCAGGGCTTGTCATCGTTCACTTTGCTGGGAGATCTTCTGAAGATAAGACTAAGAGTCTGCAAGAAACTATGGCCTTGGTGTTTGATCCACAAACAAGCGCTTTGCAGAGATGACTAGCTGAACAAATACTGTTCAGTTTCGGTGCTAATGTTCATCAG